GATTAAAATCCTCAGTCATCGTTTCGGAATACCTAGCTTATGTGTCCAGTATTTAAAAAAATATTTAACATAACACTTATATATCAAAGGTAAAAGGTCTGGGGAGCTGTAGATGAGGCGGAATGAGGAAAAAGATTTTTTTAAGTAGTTGCAAGATCTGATTAGCTACTTGGTTAGATTTTATCCTGCAGCCAAAACTGTCAACATCCTTGACTGACTAATCGGATGTGCCCAGCGAACCGTTTTAGTCATTTTTAAAGATTTATCATTTTTACATTTTGATTCCGTAATGGATTTGTCACTTAATTATTATTATTATTAGCTTTATTCAGTATTACATTTTTGGTACAATATAGAATTTTCAGCGTAAAGTATTTTAACAAGTTTCCGTTTCTTTCTTCTTGGTCGGTCCTGACGATAAATATTGAGTGATCGCCAGTTAGATGTTAACAGTCCAGTAAATGAACATGCATTCTTTTCGTTATATATTGCCAGCAACCACATTGTCTCTTATTGAGTTTTTTGTAACTTTGACTACGAAAAATTGTGCACTTTTCAGAAACGCAGCAGAATAGATTATGCGATTAATAGACATAACGATACATTAAAACAAACAAAAATAGATAACTTGTTGAAATATCTAGATGGCAGGAACAGGTAGCCCAAATGCTCAAACAGGACGCCGTATCTAACAAAACGTATGGTGGTTCATGATCTAGATAAGCCGGTTCTAGCCTATCAATACTTACTGTGTCGATGTTTCCATGTTTTTCTATCACGAAATATTTAGATTTTCTTGAGACGACTTTGAAAGGACCTTCAAATGGAGGACTGGGTGGTGCTTTTAATTTGTCACATCTTATCCAGACGTGTCACAGTAAATTAGAATACCATCGATAGATGATGGGAACTGTTTTAAATTAAGACTTGAATTGTTTGTTTTAAGTAGGTTTTGCAATTCTAGGTCCTGCTCTTGTTCGTGTTTCAACGTCTCGAAGTTTACTGTAGACTGCTGTAGCACGTTCATTTCTAGTCTGGATAAAGCATCTGCCGCCTGATTGTCCTGACCTTTGACATGTCGGATATCGCTTGTGAACTGTGATATATAGTCAAGGTGTCGGACTTCTCGAGGTGAGTACTTATCGGCTCTCGCTTTTAGTGCATTCGTTAGTGGTTTGTGATCCGTAAAGACTATAAATTCCCTACCTTCTAACATGTGTCGGAAGTGTTTAATAGTCAGGTAGATTGCAAGAAGTTCTCGCCCGAAGGTAGAATACCTTGTCTCAGCTGGAGCGAGTCTTTTCGAGAAGAAAGCAATTGGTTTCCAGGCGTTTTTGACCAGTTGGTTAAGGGTACCGCCTACTGCTTTTTCTGAAGCATCCACCATCAAAGCAAATGGGGAAAGAGAATTCGGATATATCAACGTAGTTGCTTGAGCCAGTTTATCTTTAAGCTGTTTAATAGCTTCGACGGCGTCAGAAGACAGTTTGAATTCTTTTGGTTTTCCTTTAAGTGAATCTGTTAAAGGTTGCATTAATTATGCACAACCTGGTATGAATCTGTGATAAAAGTTAATTAGACCTAGAAAACTTCTCATTTGTGTTAGAAAGCTAGGTATCGGGTATTGTTTGATGGTATCCACTTCTTTTTTATAGGTTTAATCCCTTCTGGGCTTATTGTGTGACCGAGGAATTCTAAAGTTTGAACACCGAAAACACACTTACTTTGATATATGTTTATTTCATGTTCATTCAGTCTTTTCAAAACTGCTCGTACATGCTCTTCGTGTGATTGCAAATCGGGGCTGGCAATTAACAAGTCGTCTATATACTCCCGCGCAAATGGCATATCTCGAAGTAGGTTATCTATGAATCTTTGAAATGTCTGTGCCGCACTTCTCAGGCCGAATGGCATGCGTACAAATTCGAATAAGATAAAGGGTGTAGTAATAGCTGTCTTGGGGATATCTTCATCAGCCATTGTGATATGCCCTGACTAAGTCAATTTTAGTGAATATGTTCATACCCTGTAAACCGTTTGTGAAATCTTGGATTTTGAGCTTATCTGGTGCTAGTCTCCTGAGTTTTGCAAACACCGGTGCACCTTCGGTTTCGCTAGTGTGACTTACTTTTAGTTTGTCATTGGAAGGATTTGTCTATCTCCAGTGGTGACAAATCCTCCAGATTATGGGTTTCTGTTGAGTCTGACATTAGGTATGTGACAAATATATTAATAAAATTAGCACGAATAAATGGTTTCTATAACACGAATAACTTAAGATAATAAAAAATAAACTATTTATATACCCAACTTAGATTACGGAAATCAGGTCTACTTTTACGATTGAGTAAAAAAAATAATATTAATAACAAAAATGAGGTTAAATTTGTGTTCAAAAGGGCTCACCAGTTTCGTGCCTATAAGTAACCCTCGTGCTATTGATAGAAGAAACTAGACAAGTAGTAAATAGGTCTTTATTTCGATCTTAGCGCAGTAACAGTGGAGCGTGGGATTATCTGTTCAGACAAACAAAGGCTTTCAACATTCAATATTAGATAATAGGGAATGTAATGCTTAAACAAAATAAGGACGTGAATGAATACTTGAACAATACTGTTTTGGCACATGCTTGGTTGTTTGGGGTCAACTCTTAACCAACTAACCTAAGCTGTTATAATATCGTACAAAAGTTAGGGAAGTGCCAACGAGTACAGCTCCTTGAGGCTGTGGAGTTTATTAACTTGTTAGAATAAAAACTTTTCATATGTAATTTATTATTTCTGCATTCGTTAGTTTTAATGGACATCACTGTCTGAACGATCTCAGACAAAGGATTAAGATGTAGCTCAATATAAGTTTCTAAAGTACATAAATTTGTAAATGTTCATGACTGCTGTTGAATAAGTTGGATAGACGAGACACCAACTAATTGAATGTTTCTAGTCAGACAACTTAACAAGGCCACGTTTTAACCTATAAACAAAAATGTCTACGTTCTAAACCACCAGTCTTTTCTTCTTCATTTGTCTTACTGACATGGATCTATAAGATGCTCGATTACCGGCATTCGTGGATTCCACTATAACGGTGATATCTTCAGGTTTACTAACTTAGGTAATTCTACTGAGTGTTAATTTCGTATTATGAAAAGGGTAAATGTCAATTTTATATTAATTTAACATAAAATTAAGACATTAGGATATCTTTTCTTGATTCATATAAACGATCTTCTATAGAAGTTATCGTCGGGTTTATTACTTTTCACCGATGATGTGAAACTCTAGAGAGAGGCACGTAACTAAGAGGATAATCTGGCACTTCAAGACCATCTGACTCCACCGCAAAGTTGAGCAGATGACAACGGACTTACCTTCAACACTTTAAAGTGTAAAGCAGTTCATCTGAGACATTCTGCAAACTTCAACTACAACTTAGGCAACTTCCTATGAAGGTATCCCAAGTCGATAAAGATCTAGGAGTGTTGGTACCCTATGGTTTGAGGTCTTACGTCAAATACGACAAAAATTCCTTCCAAAAAACATTTCGCAGGTAACACTGAAGCGCGTTTTCTGTCAGTTCGACTGAAGAACTTTCCACATAATCTTCAGCAGTTTTATTCTTTTCTATATGGAGTGCGGAAACATAGTGCAGGCGTCTTAGAGGTGATCTAATGACTTATAGAATTCTAAACATTTCTGGGCGTCCATTAAACAACTACGTAGTGAAGTGTTGAAATACGCTGCCGACTGAGCTAGTCCAAGCGACCTCCCAGGAATCCTTTAGCAGAAAATTTGACATATTCTTAAGGACTAAGGACAGTATCTCATTATGATTTACAAATTTTTTCCGTTGAGCGAAAGCTCCTTCTATTCCATCCAAAACTACTTGAAGCATGTGAATGATAAAGAATGCGATAAGAAATAATAAAATGAAAAACAACTTTTCACTTGGTGGTTATTAAAAATGTCATGGTTATTATATAAAATAACTAATACTGAGACTTAAAACATTTGACAGATGTATTAACAATCAAACTATTTTTATGAGCAATAATTGCCAGAGTCATGAAAGAACAATAGATTACACGTATTTCTTTTCCATACAAAGTTCAATTTTGAAAATATGGATTGCCAGAACCTCTGGAATTCACGAGTTGCGAGCTGTTTTTCTCTCGAATTGAATCGACTGGCAGTATGAATGACTTTGAAAGGCTTTACAGGTGGGGCAACACGACCAATATTCATAATATTCAACTACTGATCGTTTCGCATTCACGTTTCGAAGGCTTCCTAGGGAAATGTGCAGAGATGCACTTCGAAATGCTTGCTCTGTGCACCCAGTGAACTCTGCTCCACACGAGCAAGTGAACTTAAACATAAGATGACCCATTGCGAGAGTTTATCTCTGATAATTCCATGAATACTGGGACGGATTGTGAGGACTATGCGAGCCTGGGTAGCGTAAAAAACATTCCTCAGGGATTTTTTTAACGATTCTTCAAAATCTCTGCAGCAGTATCTGCCTTGAACTCAATGTTCATAAACAGAGTTTTTTACAAACTGCATGGGTTCCTACAGGTTTTAATTTCGGGTGTCGGGTTTCGCTAGAAACCCAATAAGTAGGTAATTTAGAGGAGCACCTTTTTTATCTTGGATAGTCCCTTATCTCCTGTGTATTCTTTGACAAGTAATATAAAAACACCCTCCTGTTTTTTAGTAGACCTTTAATTGACGGTTAAATGTCAACAAGACTGTATAGATTAAGTAGACGGTACTGTCAAAAAGGAAAACTTCAAAAGAACACACTAACAACTGCATCAAAACTACAAACTAATCGGTAAAGAAAAGTGAAAAAGAGAGTGCCCGTCGTGACTTGCACAGAATAACATCGGATATACTGCTACATTAGTGAATGGCTCTATAAACTGTTTCTGCACACAATAAGCACCAAGGCTACAAACAAACGTCTCAAAAATTCGTTATAATAAGATTGAGTACTAAATGTTGGGAGCGGAAAGTTTGGTTCCTGGCGTACTTTACTCCAAGTATATCTGGTTCTGTATTCTCATAACTTCTGTCGCTTGTAATTGTTGCTTAGTTGTTGACTTTTAAACAATAGTAAGCTAGAGTTCCAGCCTAGAAAAATTCCTTCCTGTTTCGAATTTGTTTTACATGCTTAAAAGTGGATTTTGAAGACATGGTTTTTTGCAACACTATGCTAGAAATTTTTAGTATTTAAGAAAACCGTCAAAATATCACCAGGTATTTCAATGCAGGCTCTCGAATTTGGCATTAGCATCACTGAGATTAAGGTGAACTTAAAGACTTCAGTTGAAGCCGAAATCAGCTTCCTAACAATCTTGCTTAACGTACATGTTTTTACTAGCTGAGAATATAATTTACGAGCAACCTTTGAGCAACACTAAAGTGATTTTGATAGTATCCGCGTACTAATTATAACTTAGCAAGGGTTATAAATAAGTGTCAGGAATTGGGATTAGGTTCCGGGTTTCCGTCACGAACTGAAATAAGCTAAAATGATAAAACGCTACCTAACCAAATAGATCAATGATTTTCTCGTTAAAATCCAAGACCCTTCATCTTATATCTGATCGGTTAATTCATAGACTATAGTCTCTCCATCAAAAGTAGTCACACACTATTTAGACCGAATCGTTTAGTAATGTTGGCAACGCTTAATAACACAGAACATTCGTAAAATTGGTATTATACTATTGACCCTCACCTAATAAATATCACTTACATCAGTGTGTTCGAAAACGTATCTTGTTACTGAGGTGAACTACTGTACTTACCAATCACCTGACTCACCTCATAATTCTTATTTTTATTTACTATTTTGTGCAGCTCGATCCTCGTTGAGGCTACTCATAAAATGTCAGAGGCCACGTTTTGTGATGTGCTTATTCTGGGTGCTGGTATTTCTGGACTTGCTGCAGCCAAACTACTAACTAATGAAGGACTTAAAACTATTGTTTTAGAAGCGCGATCAAGAAGTGGTGGCCGGATTCATACAGTTGATCTTCCTTCTGTTACTGACAAATCACATGATAAGTCTGTCGTCGACCTGGGGGCTAGCTACCTTCATGGATGCAACAATTCGCAGGATGTCCAACCTTTGTTTACGCTGGCTAGTCGTTTAAAAATCGCTACTTCTCCTGCCGCTGGGGATGTTTTAGGTACGCATCGGGGTTGGGAATGTCCAGAGGTAGCTGTTTGGCGAGATAATAAATCGGGGAAGGAAATTGGCTTGGAAGAAGTGGCGGACATGAGTTTTCTACTTGACAGATGCTTACTGTACATTCTTATGGCAGCGAATCAGAAGAAACAAGAGAATCGATCAAATAAAACTTTAGCTACTGCTTTACCAAGGTTTGTTCCGTGTGCAAGTTTTCACTCATTTCACAGGGAATATAACTTTCTCTCTCTCTCACTATATATATATATATATATATATATATATATATATATATATATATATGATAGTAACTAAATGTATATCAGTCTAAGTAGCTTTCATTAGTCTTCACTTTACTTTATTTCGCCGGTGTCTATATTAAATTATATTAAGATCACCTCTTTATAAGCTGCTCTCAAAAATTCTTATGTAAGTCTATAGAATTGGCTTGTGTATGTGTTTCGGGAGATATGTTTCATCAGATACTGGAATATTACTTGGGTTTCCAGGTTATTTTTTCAACTTCATATCATGATTTCATGAATAAGTTATCCTGCAGCTCTACTTTTAAACTCATAAGATGTGAAAATATATGTACTCGCGTTTTACCAACTTATTTAAAGACTATTTGTTCGGTATAAGACACCTTTCATATAACCCTACTACTTTGGTAGAAATTTATCTGTGATCATTTAATAGAGTTAAATCAATGCATTTACTCACATGATTATATGTTGGCTTTCTTCTAATTTTCTTATGTTTTATTACTTATAGTGCTCTAGAATCATGTCTTCATTTACTATACAAGGCAGGCTACCGAACTTCTCCAACTCTTTCTCGAAGAGAAAAGGGCATTTTTGATTCCCTTTTTGCTCGATACATAGCGTATGTAAATCCGGCTCATAGACTCTCTCCTAAACTTTCTTTGGGACCTCATTTCGAAGCTGATGCTATGGCAGGTTTAGCTCTGAATGTTGACCAACCGAGCTCTGTGTCCAAAAGAATCTATTTGGATTGGTTGCAAGAAAAAAGAACCCATTTAAGTTTGAATGGCTCGTGTAAGAGCATTGCTCGTCGAACCGATCACAAATGGGAGGATCGTTTAGTTTTAGATGGGTTCTCAAAGTTTGTCGAATTTCTAGCGTCTGGTGTAGACATTCATCACCGATGTGTTGCACGACATGTGTATTGGTCAAATCACACAGACTTTGGTAAATCTAATGAAGAAATTAATATCCAATTAATTCATGACAGTGCTGCCTCATGGTCTACTAAAACTCTTATGGATTTTATTGAGTCTTCTAATCTAGTATGTGTTGATGTGGCACAGTACTCAGGGGAATCGTCTACGTTGGTTTTCAACAGACAATCTTCTAGGCGTTATTTTGCACGCTTCTGCATCATAACAGTCCCTGTTGGTGTACTCAAAGGCCTTGATCGTCGTAGTGCCATCCATTTTCATCCGTGTTTGCCTTCAAGGAAAAGACTTGCAATAGATCGTCTTGGTATTCCAAAGTTGGGAGCAGAAACTCATAATAAGGTAAACTGACTATGGATTTTCGTGCAGTTTGTAAGTTTAACTTGATAGCATGAGTTGTTTTACAGATATAATCATAGTATGGAAAAAATATATTAACTGAAAGGTCATAAGTTATCTGAAACATCAGTCAATGTGGAATAAACTATTGGCTGAAAAACTTATGGTAAAATACTCTTTGTAAACCTCACAATATAGTGTAACTTGTCAATTACAAGTTCATGTACTTTGCTTCGAGCCACGTTATTTGTGTGATGACTAATGATATTACTGATTCCCTGCTGCTCTGACTGAAGTAAGTGGGGTGAGTTTTGAACTTTTAACCTGTTGATTGAAAGCTGAGTGCTTTAGCCACCGTTCTACCAAAATTTAGGAGCAATAAACTGGTATTTTCATACCAGTTTCGCTCCTATGAATATATATATATATATATATATATATATATATATATTGGCTTTTTAACAGTATTATAACTAAGTGGACTCGTCCTAGAAAGGAAATGGTCCACCATACTTTGTTTACTTCAAATTACCGTACGTTTTCGTTAGAAATTCTCTCTGGAAATATATTACTGTATTTAGTTGGTTGCGTCGAAATAAATTGTATATTTTCATTTTTGTGTTATTTCGAGGAATCTTTTATTATGTAGAGCGATGTTCAGGCTGGATTAAAAGTCACTAGTCACCACTAAATTTACACTTTCAAATCAAAATTGCCTGGTGATTTCTCTTTTGAAATCGCAACATTTTATATCGTCATATTAATGGTCTAAATGTAGTGTACAATTTAATGCATTCAATATTAAAAGTGATCGTAAAGTCTATCACTGCTATCATTATGAGTTCCAAATTTTATATCTCATATATGTAATATTGAGTAATGTAAAAGTGTGTGGTTATCATTAGCGGATAAAAAAACTGTTAAAGTTTCTTGAAACATTTGTTCAGTTTCACAGGAATTTCTTTACCTTTAACGTTTGATATTAATGTGCTCATTCAATGTAAAATAACTTACATCATGATGCAAGTTTTATTCTATAAAATATGTACAACTTTAATAAAAATCTACGTTTAAAAATTCTCAAGTAAACCGGACCGAAATAAGAAAACAGTAACACAAAATTTTCAGCCACCATTCAGGTAGTGATTATATACTTGAAAATATTTATAAATTTATTGCATGGCTTTGTGCCGTTATTAAGTAGTTCTAACATAATTTTTACATTTTAAAATAATTTCACTCTTTACTTTTAAAAAAAAAATCCAGCAGAAGGTATGAACTTCAAAACTAGGTTTTTTTATAATCATGGAAAATTACTTGTATTCTAAAAACATTATTAGGGTAACTAACAAAGCTGATATTGATAGATATTAGACTATCTGTTCAAAAGAAAGGGTTTTTGAAATTTTCGAATAATGTTAATTAGATGACCTCATAACTAAAAATTACCATATCAAACCCTCATATGGTAACCTTTTTGTTCAACTGAAAAAAGTGATTATAATATAGGTGTGTTAACGGGATGTAAATTCGATTGAAGGATGTTTTTTACAGGATTGTGTTGGGGCGCTCTGACTGGCTATTTCATAACCAATCAGCGCTAGTGGACACTTGGAGAAGACAATAGGATCTTTTCATGTAAAAACTACAAATATACTAACGTTTTTCTTATTGTGATTCTGTGATACTTAGAAGCATTTGGATTACCAGATGATCTAGGAATCCCCGAAATAGCATAATTCATGTTAGGTAGAACTAGGTGAGCACAAACGAACGTATTGTATTTGGAATTCAAAATCAGGCACACATCAAGTACAAAAGAATTATTAGTTCATACAAACACCACAGATTCCTACTTCCATCCAACCTTGTTATTTGGAATGTAATTACGTTCCTGTTCAACCGTGTTCTGATTTGGGGACTTGTCGAGTGAGTGGGTGTCCAAGGATACTGGACAATAAGAATAGCTGAGTCGTAATAAGAGAGATAACAAAATGCTTTCGAAATATTCTAGATACAGTTTGGATTATACCTTCAGTTTTCATTAAAATCATCAAGCATGATATTTTCTACAATCTTTCCTTATATTTTTGACTTATTGTATATAGATATAATAGATTATTTCTTACGTGGTTGTTGTTTAATGAAACTTGTATAATTTCTGTGTTAGAAAGCCATTTGACAATGAATTGTAGTCTTCATGTGTTTGCTTTAATGAATGAGAGTATTGTTAACATACTTTATGATAACTAATAAGTATCGCGCTTTTTCCCTTTTAGGTTATTTTAATGTTTAACCCATCAGAAATTTTTTGGGATCGTGACACGCCTCATATTACGTGTCCCGGCGCTTACCTTCATATACTTAATTGTGACTTTTATGGAAATCCTGGTGTTCTGGTTGCTCACGTATGGGGTGGTTCAAAGCTCAGGATCACTGGTCGATCTGATCAAGCTGTCGTCAAAACTTTACTAGATTTATTAGGTGGTATGTACCCTTCTCAGTGTCCATTGCCTGAACCTATATACACTCACGTTACTCGATGGTCAGAAGACCCGTTTAGTTTGGGTGCTTATACTGCTGGTGAGGTTGGCTGTAGTGACGCTGATCGACAAGCTTATGCAAGTAGCCTGCCTTCCACAGTTAGTTATAGTCTTATTATTTCTTTAAATTGAACTAATTAATCATGTTTGCTTACGTATTTGATTTATCAGTGACTAGTAGGGTGAATATTTTATTTTAATTGGTGCCGGTTCATTGAATGTAACCGCTTCTTAGTAGATAGTGCTTTTGGCTATGAGGTTATGGAATTAAAATATTAGTATTAATAGAGGCTAACCAATTCACAAACATATCGACAATGGAAAAGCACAACTTTTAGTAATATTCTGTTATCAATAATGTTTAGAGTGTGGCTTACTTTAGTGTGTGAGATCGCTGTAGAAATCAATCCCCTATTGAGATGTTTGTCTTCAGACAGATTGTCCTAAGTAAACATTTAAAAACCAGACAACTCACATAATTCCAAGTGGTATTTTTAAAATATGGAAATTATTACATTATAGATGTCGGAGAATCTCGCTTTATAAGTGGATCGCCATAAACATTTAATCACACTGTTCGGGGTAAGAATATCCTTATCATCACAGGGACTCATTTATTAAATTTATTAGTCGATCTACATAGTCCTTCCTAAAATTGCAATGTTCCCCAACGTATTTAAGCTATGTTTCTGGTTTTACCATAATCTTTCTATATGCAATATTAATATGTTTTAAAACGGTCCAAAATATTCTCATCACTTACACACTATTCCAACTTGTTTTTACTACAGGTTTGTCCGAAGTTGCTTTTTGCAGGTGAAGGTACCGTTGACAGTTCTGGTGGTCAACAATGTACTCATGGTGCTTTCTCATCAGGCGTTGATCGTGCTTTAGATGTTTTAGATTATATTCAAGGTAGCCGTTGCCGTTTGCGTGATGTGCGCATCATTGATTATCTCACTGGACATCGTTATGACCTATTCCCTCCTCATGAGATGGTACGAAGAACAAAAAAGCGGAAAATAGCAAACTTGACTGTAGACTGTAAAAAACCTAGTGTTAATTCGTCTGGTAAACAAGAGTCATCGTTGGCTAAATGTATTCAATCTAGTCAGGAACTGGTAAGCACAGAATCATCAGATAGCCAGTGTTCTGAAGGTGATTCAAGTCCATCTATTTTGGATTTTGAATCTATTGAATCCTGTATATTGTTTCCTAAGCCAACACGGCGTTCAACTCGCCTTACTACATGGATTTCCTCTCAAGCATCTTCGTCTCTTCGAAGAGAGTCCATTTTAATGTACCACAAAAAAAGACACTCCGGTAGTTTTAATGCTCTAAATAACTGCAGTAAGCGTTGTAGTCAAGTTATGTCAACTGATAGTCGTGCTATTTCAAAAATTATTGATGGAAAGCATCCATTTTCTTGCTTCACAGGAGACCACAATTCTAATCTGCTCTCGAAATCTGTATCGGATTCACTACCGTCATCTGTTAGTCCAACTCTACTCACAAAGACTTGTCTTTCAAGTATACATACTTCATCCCCCCTTTCTGATACGGCTGGCTGTATACTAATAGATTGTAATGAAAATTTGAAAAACTTTTCTCTTCCTATAAACTCTGTATCCCAATCTACCGAAAGCGATTTAGAACCTGATATAAAAGGTTTGCTATTTTCAGATGGTTTATTAAACAATAATAACAATTGTAACTTAGATTCTACACTGCATTCAAATATGTCTCTTAATAACCGTTCCAACGAAAAAATCATCGATCATATCAAGCCAACTAACTATGAACCTGTTTTTGGTGCTCTTCCATTCACAGGAGCTTGCAATAACTCAGGACTTCAAACTAAATCTTTCTCTTTTAAAGAGGCTTTAATTATTAAAGATGTACCAGTTTCCATGTAAAAAGCAAACTGTGTTAATTATTCAACTTTTAGTTTTATCTTTCTTTTTCATCATTGCATTTCCTCCTCTTTATGTTCTCATGTTTTGTAATTAATTATAGTGACTTATATAGTTTGCTAATTTCCCAAGTTTCTTTGTGATTTATTTTAAAAGTTGTTTTCCTACTGTGATTAAAGCTGCTTGTGCTGCTTTTGGTCGCTTATATACTTTGTCTAAAAAATACTCATAATATTTCTTTTCATTAGTAATGTGTTCGTCAAATATTGTATCATAATATTTAGTGATAGTTCATATTCACAATATAGTATTGTAGCCTCTTATATATATATATATATATATATATATATATATATATATATATATATATATATATATATATATATATAATCATTGTCTTCAATGGTTTGACTCTACCTTGCCTTCTGTCCTCGTTCTTTGCTGTCAAATAAACTAATTTAGTATTATTGCAGTCAACTATCTTGTTAATATGTTATATATTTATTAATCTTTTCTAGGCATTTTCTGTTGTCAAAATTATTTGTATATATTTTTAAAAGGTGTTTACTCTGGTTAATTACATAATTCGTAAATAGCTTTTTTCGATTACACAATGTTACACATCATGGGCATACAGTTTAGCGCCTGAATTTTTTCAAATAACAGTTGATTTGTCGTCAAAACTCGATAGTTCCTTCGGGTATTTTCAGTTTTAAGAATAAGCTATATTTTATAGGACAACTTCTATGGCGTTAATATCTTAGATTAAAAGTTGGTTTCGCACGAGTTTAGATGAAAAATGACAACCAACATGAAAGCTTAGGTTTCAACTAACGAGTTTATTTAGAATAGATGTCCCGACATTTGTTTTTTTGTCGCTATCGTTTCACGATGGAAATTTGGGCTAATAAAACTTATATAGGCGAGGTTTACTTTAGTGGGTTCTTGTACATGAGCAATGATTTTTAAGATACGTTTTTATCTTTCACCCTTATCGGCTATGATGATACGTCGCAGAAGTAAATCAGTCAGTCAGTAACAACGTAGAACTTCGTACGTACGTACATCAGTCCGAGTTGCCACATCACCTTAACACAGAGATGCAGTTGTCGATCCAAATCCCGTAGTGGTAGAGGTAGCAAGAGTGTAAGCAGTGATCGGGAAGATTAGGGTTTGGAGATGTTATTTAAAAGGTATAATTCAGTGAAATAAATTTGGAAAGAGGAAAAAAGGGACATGAAGAATTCAGAAGATTAGAATTTGGGAGAACACAAAGAGTGGATCCACCTGCGCCATTGCAAACGATTTTGAGCCATGTCATTCAGGGTCTCTAACCATCGGTTGCTATCATCTCGCGGTCCCCAACCATGTAGTCTACACCTACCAACATGACTCAAACTACTTGTCAGTGACTTCATGGACTTGTGCCGTGTTTTGGTCTGGCCACCCCTAGCTTTCTTCCAACCTACTCCTATACCACCAAACATCGCACGTCGAGGCAGTCGGTCGTTGGGCATACGTAACACATGTCCCAACCATCTCAACTGATGACGTTTCACTACGTCATCAATTGATTTGCCATCCTTACCTAGTACCCGTTTCCTAACAACTGTGTTACTTACTTGATGGTCCCATGATATACGAGCAATGTTTCGAAGACATCTATAGTCGAATACTAGTAACTTACGAATATCCTCTACTCTTACCGGCCATGTTTCACTGCCATAAAGTAGGACGGGACGTACTGCTGCGCAGTAAACCCGTCCTTTGGTTGATAGACGGATATCTCGCCTACGCCATAAATGACGCAAGTTAGCAAAAGCTAGTCAAGCCTTCTGTATCCGTGCTGAGATTTCGTCACACACCAGACCACAAGGGCTGATGAGACTTCCAAGATAAGGGAAGTGGTCGACACACTCAACTACTTCACTCCCTATCACTAGTTCGGGTGTCGATGTAACCCAATCCTGAAGCAACATTTTGCATTTCGAGGGGGAGTATCGCATCCCGAACATGCTTGCATTGTTGCTTAGAGTGGTCAGAAGACTCTGCATTTTGTCAGCGTCTTCACCAAACAGGACTATGTCATCAGCATATTCTAAGTCAACAAGTGAACCTCCCGGTAGAAGTTCAACCCCTGGAAATTTATATGAGGAGAGTGTTATCTCTAAAAGTACGTCAATGACAAAGTTGAACAAGAATGGAGAGAGTGGACAGCCCTGACGAACACCACTTGAGGTGATCAATTCTGATGACAGTTCGCCATAAGCTCTCACTTGACCAGTTGTGTTCGAGTAGAGAGCCTCTACAAGGTTAATGTACTTCTTTGGTACTCCTTTCAGTGACAAACACTGCCATAGAACCTTACGATCAACAGAGTCGAATGCCGCCTTAAGGTTGAGAAATACTACCATTGTGGGGCGTCTGAACGTGTGTCTGTGTTCTAGAACCTGACGTAGTGTGAATATCTGGTCTATACAACTACGTCCAGGTCGAAAACCAGCCTAATTTTCACTAGTATGTTCTTCACGAGCTTTGATTAGGCGTCGAAGTATTATTGAAGCTAATATTTTAGACACTATATTAGTCAAACTGATTCCTCTATGATTGTCACAATAGGAATTTTGTCCTTTCTTATAGACTGGCACAATCAGTGATTGAGACCAGTCAGATGGGATTACGTCCAGTTCCCAAATTCTACCTAAGACCTCGGTGAATATCATTGCTAATACTGGGCCACCATCCTTAAAAATCTCAGGAGTAAACCTATTAGGGCCTGCTGCTCTCCCTCGCTTCAGATTTCCTATGGCTTTTTCAACTTCGTAAAGGGACGGAGAACCTACATTAACTTGCCATTCAGGTTGACTGGGGATCGTGGGAAACCGAAGTGTGGCTGAAGGCCAGTTGAACTGATCCCTGAAGTGTTCTGCTCATCGATCCAATCTCCTGGATTGGGAATGAATAATATGTCCATCTTTCTCTGAGATTGTTTCGCTAACGGTCGGGTTCCTAATTCCGGTTTCCTTAACGAGTCTGAACAATTGTCTGCTATTACCTATTGCCGCTGCCTTCTCCATCTCTCTTGCTTTCGCTACCCACCACTGTTCGCGATCATTGCGTAGACCTTTTGTCAGCTTGCGCTTAAGCTGACTCCGCTCTTCACTATGTTCAGAGCCAGATGGAATGAGTTTCCGAGCATCTATCAGTGCGATAGATGCTGCTGAAATCCAGTGTTGCTCTCTAACCTTCTGGTTTACCTTACTAGCAGATATCACTGCTGATTCCACAGCTTTTCAGATATCATTCCATGCTGCCTCGGGGTGGGCATCACATACATGGCTCCTAACTGTTTTCCTAGTTGTTCCTGAAATATACTCTGTCTTCTAATATAATTGGTAGGTAACTGCCTCACAATTAATATGTCTAAAATACACTGACCATGGAAGTAACTAGTCACCAGAAGCTCTATTTGGATGGCAATTTTTCCGTTTGGAGTTTGAAACTGGACACTATTTCGTTTACAGCGTTGACCAGTGTTGCTTGTGAGATGCTACTATTGTAGCAGCTTGAGTTAAGTGGCTAGTAATTAACCTGTTGAAAATAAAATATCACATAAAGAAGGATCATTTTCCAATCTTTTTATTATGGAGGAACTTTGGAGAATTTTTAGTAAGTTTTTGGGTTTTCCCCATAGTCGTGATAAGTTTGGTAGCTTTCCGCAAAGTTTACGGAAACTTCGGGTAAAAACCACAGTGTTGTAAGATTGTGGGAAAATATTGGGAAAACCCAAAATTCCCTCAAGAATTTGTAGTGACTTTTATCAGGAGAACACGATTGGTGCAATGGAAACAACTACTATTATAACCAATTGTGCCAGGGATTGTTTTACTGTACGTTTTCGTTTAACTGTACTAAGAACGTACATTTGAGATGGTGGTGAAGATTTGTAGCTCAAGTGGATCATTTTGGTGGAGTTTTGTTCTCTGAGCTGGATGGTTTGGTCGTGGAGCTTTCATCGTTCTTCTGAACGATATCATCAGCACAAACTTCAGATAGAAGTGAAGTATTCGAATTAATCCATATGTGTTTCACAGCTTGTTCTGTGCACCTCGATGTTGATCGGTTCCTGTTTACCTTAACTTTATTATTGTTTACTTCTTTGTTTTGGTTGTATCTCCCATTGGTTTGATTTTTGTTCCTATATTTATGCATGATTTTGCTGATTGGTTGATAAATTGAATTGATTTCAATATGTTTGTTGATTACTGATTGACCTAAGTGCCAGGCTTCTAAAAATTCTCTTTAGAAATCTTAGACAGAAGAAACTCCAAAAACACCAGAGAATTTTTATAAGCCTGGCACTTAGGTCAATCAGTAATCAACAAACATATTGAAATCAATTCAATTTATCAACCAATCAGCAAAATCATGCATAAATATAGGAACAAAAATCAAACCAATGGGAGATACAACCAAAACAAAGAAGTAAACAATAATAAAGTTAAGGTAAACAGGAACCGATCAACATCGAGGTGCACAGAACAAGCTGTGAAACACATATGGATTAATTCGAATACTTCACTTCTATCTGAAGTTTGTGCTGATGATATCGTTCAGAAGAACGATGAAAGCTCCACGACCAAACCATCCAGCTCAGAGAACAAATCTCCACCAAGAACGTGCATTCTCCCGTCGCTTAAGACCTTGTTCGAACTTACGTTCGCTCAGTAGTTCCACTTGTACTCCTTTGGCACGATCTCGGTATTCTTTCGATACCACGAGATCGCCAACAAACATATCTTGCTACAACCTTCGATAGCCTTCTGATTTCTGGTTTACTCGGAGGTTTAGCCTGTTCTCATACGCAGGCTTGTTGTAGTGGTGATCATAGTCAAACGTGACTCGACGTCGCATTACACATTTCAGGAAAGTTTTTCTCTGCGGATTCCCCAAAATTTATCCAAAACGGACAAAATTTTCCTCGATTCATGTAGGCATTACATTTCATGAACGATGAACTGTTTCTGAAGTAGTAGATTTTGTACAAAAAAACATCATAGTTTTGACGTCTAGAAGGTCTTACGATATAAATACCATTTAGAATTCCAATTACAGTGGAGTTTAGAAAAAACGTTTTTTTCATCAGAAGCCTTTGCTAGGTATGGAAGTTAGTTCAAATTTACAGGAGGAGGGTTTAAGAGCTAAGAAGACTTTGAATGTGGATATGCTCTTTAATAATTGACAGAACATAACAGAATCATGTCATCTAGTTAGTGAATAAATTGTAAGAGAGAGAACTAATTGGTCGAGTAGGCATACGAATATGTATGAAATTTCACCTTACCCACTCTTACCAGCATATTTCTTTAATAAGGTCATTCGTGTTGTTCGGTCACCATATTACCCGGTCAAGAAGAAAGGATAACCCACGTTCGGTGTAACTACAACGTGAGCTGGTCGTTCATCATTCCCGTCTAACTCGTGTGGGTCTGTAGTAACATCGAGCCCTAACTACACAATCCTCAAAGCTGAATACGAGACAGCGGAGACGCGGAGAAAAACCCAACGATGGAGAATGCGGGAAGAATGAATTGAATTAATTAGAATTGGTTGGATGGCATGGCGTGATCTCTGTTGAATGTTATCTTATATCTTTTTTCATATTAAATATATGGTTCTATCTCTAGCCTAAGCCTGTTTTCCATTATGTGTTGGTGATTGTTACGATACGACAACTCAGTGTAGACAAAGATGTGACTTCCACTTAAGATCTTATAAATTAAGCAGTTACATCACGACAAATACAAAATTTTAGGATCAGGTCTATTAGTAGAGCAGTATTAATACCATAGTAGACCATAATTCTACAGACTCCCAATCACGCAACTTAGATGACGTTACTGCAGGACTCTATCAGCAGGAGTATTTACAAGAAACAGAATGCGACCACAGCGGCACAAGTCAGGCCAGGATGCGCAGTTAACTGATGAGTGTTGGTTGTCCCTGATCTTGACGAAGACTGGTGAACTACCCAACGTTCAGTGACCAAACTGGCCTTACACCTAAAACGTAAAAAAATCATGCATAAAAAAGGACAGAAGTGTAAATAATAATGAAAAAATATTTTCTTGAAATAATTATAAAATACACACCAGTTTACATATGTGATGAGGATACAACTAATTCAGAATATTGATAATCTACTCATTAATGAAGTTCTGATTAATCACAATTAGATAGCGTTACAGTCACAGTCAAACTTTATTCATGGGAGGTAAAAAAGATGAAGATGAAAATAGCCAGAATAGGCCGTATATTCTGTAGTGGGGAGAAGTAAGTGGTCGTAAAACGAATAAGTCGAATGTCCAAGCATTTCCTTTTACAACATAGACTCGAAATAAAGGGTAGTGATAATAATTCTAATTTGGTTCTACATTTACCTGAAGATAGTGGAGTAAATATAGATTAAAGGGACACTCTCATGTAAGGTCATCACCAGTTTGGAATATGACCTTGGTCTAGATACTGTTGTGGCGGTAAATAAATCAACATTTGAGGCTCACCACATTAGTTTTAATGGACTCACCAAGCTGAAGTCGTCCGGTCACGCATCCACACCAGATCACGAGTGGGAACGCCGTGCTCCACTTCTCCTGCAGCCGCTAGTCAGTTTAGATCAGTCACTTCTCGATATATTGATAACCTATCAAATATATCTCCGAACGTCCTTGCTTCTAATATTTGATTTCACTGGGTGGGCACGATTGAATTATAGGTGTTACTGGTTTAAGTGTTGTCAAACTCCATACTTACTGCATATTCACTGTTAAAAAGAGTGATTTTACTAATTTAGAGGGTGATAATAGCGTTAACGTTAAAACCGTCTGATCGGTTTCGTTGGATTAGTATGATGGAGTGGGCACGCTTCTGTGCAAGCTGCCAGAAATCTAAAGTTATTAGACGCAACAAATGTTCCTTGTGTCCTTTCAAAACTCTCGATGTCTATATCCACCGCGTTCATCTCGATTTGTTAGTACTCTTACGAGACTAAAATGGATACTCTTACACATTAACGTGTGCAGATCGTTTCACACGATAGCCAGAAACAGTTCCCATTACTGCTTAAACAATGACCCGTGCCTTCTTCGAACGATGGGGGGCAAAGTTCGTCTATCTTTCAACTGTTGCTACAGCCCGTTGACGCAAGTACTAATCGAGATATTTCCATTGTCTCATTACACTACTAGGATGACACGATTACTAACGATCGTCTGTCATCCACAAACATCTTTTGTACAAAAGTCTACTAACGAAAAGTCTTTGAATTTTATTAATTGAAGCAAGGTTTCTGTTGCTCTTCACCGTTCTGACAGTTGTTTGCAGCACAGTGGGCGTGATCGGTCACGAATGATTCATGGCTACACTGGAAAACGGAACTGGATATTTTCAAGGTCGTCAATTTCAGTCGAGCAATGACCATATTCAGTGGAAACTTGAAAGTTGTAGGATAAAACGTTAAAGGTTAAGGCCTTTTATTAATTTCACTGAGAATTCCATATTGTACCAAAATATATTATTGGATAAAGCCATTAAAAATAATAATGGAAATGTGCTACAATAACCTCTAACAATGTCGGTGAATGACTTAACCGATGTAGAGTCTTTTTTATGTTGTCCGTTTACGAACAATTTTATACGACTATTGAAAGCTAAATAGTAAATGAGTAGATAAAAATCACAATAATTCCATAATATAAATAAAAAGGTTCTGTAGAACAACGTGAAATTAGTTTTACTAATCCAACACGGAGGCTTTTTATTTCCCGCGACTATAGGTATCTGTTTATTGGTAGCTGTCTGTTTTCCCTTTTGACTCGTTATTTTTAATAAGTTGCTTGTATACATACACTGGAGTAGACAAAGCTATTAATTATCAAGTTTCACTACATCTTTATTCTATTAGTTTTTCTCAGTGAATAGCTTTACATCATAATGGTTGCTAGATACAGCTAATAGCTGTAAACAATTCGGTGTTAATTTTGAGGAAGGTAGAAGGGTTAGTTTCGATATACTCCTCCTCAAAAGGGAAATTACTCTGCTTTACCTGGGTCAGGAAAAAAATGACGTTTTGACGCATTGTTGTACATATCCCCATTGACTTTATAATCCCCGCGTGATTTCGCCACAGTTCGCCTATTTTGTAGCTTTTGGAGGTGTTTACTTAATTCCTACCTGCAATACTTAGTGGTTATAACCTTTCATGATTCTTCACATAACTCAGACTGGTTCATCGGAAAGGATATGTTCAGAACCCTAGTATTTTGCATATGTTAAGCAATATCCTTTCACTAGTTGGTGCTCTGTGGATTGTTATTCTTTATTAATGAGTGTTTACTATTATTTCTACTATACAAGCGTGTATAAGCCACGATGCCAATTCAAGTTCCTTCAAAGTAGTCTGATTGTATGTTTGATTTATGGCAGATAATATCCTCATTATCGCGATCATCATACTTCAATGTTCTGACCAAATGCATTTCTTGTGTAACAAAAAATATTTACTCAACTACCTTATTATTTCCAAAACTCATTTCATCAGTGATCCGATACATAAAAGTCAACTCGGCTGTTTCATTTGTAGTCCAAAACCACCTAATTCATTTTAGTTTTCTTGGTAGCGAAGTAAATAAACCTGTTTGTGGTTGCTGAGTTACATCAAGTTTATTAGTAGAAAATAAACGTAGGTTGTTCGACTTGACTGACTAGACAGGTAGTTGGAGATTAATAACCATTTACTTGTTTCATTTGAGTCAACTTAAAAAAGTGGGCTCGAACAAAAGCCCCTTCACTCCATATGCTTTAACCTCTTACTTACTTACTGACGCCTGTCACTCCTCGTGAAGGAGCATAGGCCGCTCACCAAAATTCCCCATCCAACCCTGTCCTCTATAATATTTTATATTGAGAACTTACGTTTTGGTAAATGACAGTGGCATGGCGAATTTATCCGATTGTTCATGTCAAGTAACTTTTAGATCAGAAGTCATTTGCCATAATTTCATATGGTTCAAGTTCTTAACTTTCATCGACTTAATAGGTCAAACCACTGTTGGATATTGTCTTTATCCATCAATTATCAAGTTTAGGTTGGAATCCAGCATAAAAAGTTGTGCCTGGTAATCAGTCAGTTATCTGCAACGTAGGGCGAGGAACATATGTCCATCTGCCCAAGTTGCCACACCTCATCAGCACAACAAGATGAGTAACAAATTCATAGAAGCAGTTACTTTAATGGTGGTAATATATAAAAGATTTCATATAAGGACATGATACAGGGAGAAAGAATTATTTCGTAGAAATCAAGGTATAAAGTAATTTTAATTTCGTGGTAAAAGTGCAGACAGAGAGTGTATATATCTACTTCATTGTGGTCGATTCTGAGCCATGTCATTCAGTCTCCAACCATTGGCTACGATAGTCACTCAGACCCCAACCAAGTAGTCTGCGTCTAACGACATGAGTAAGACCAGCAGTTAGTGACCACATTGACTGATGCCACGTTTTGGTCTGGCCGCCTCTAACTTTCCTTCAACCAGCATTGCGCGTCGCGGTAATCGGTGTTCAGGCATACGCCAACACGTGGCATAACATCTCAGTCGATGAAAATTTACAACCTCATCAACTTATTTACCACCATTCCCTAATACCATCCGTCTAACCTTGCTATTGCTTACTTATCATACCCACTAAACCCACCCTTCTATACCAGGTAAAACTCAAGTCATTAAGAATTGAACATTTTGATGTAGTCTTGTTCTCTGAGCTGGATGGTTTGGTCGTGTAGCTTTCACCGTAATTCTGGACAACGTCAGCACAAACCTGAGGTAAAACTTCTACCAAAAGTATATTCCTAAACAGTACAGTTCTTCATTTTGCAACCCATAAACACTTATTCTAAAATTAAGAGTGGATTTTTCTAAAAATAAGATGTGATTATCAAAATCACTATTGTTAAATGTTTCTTTCATTCAACACTGAAGGCGTTTAGTATTAAAATATGGACAGTTATAATTATAATCATTAATATGTTCTGGTTCATTGTAAAAAAATAGATTTATAGTGATTTTGAGGAAACTATAATCAGATTACTTAGTTGATCCCGCAGATTATCAAAACAATTTTAACGTTTCAACAAAATCTACACATATTGAGATCAAGTACTCCATTTTTACTACATTTCTCAATATTACCAACGTTTTAACCAGTGTACTAGCTGATATCAAGTAAACGGATCAAATGTTTACTGGTCTAACTAAACTAATTATATATATAAGCTAACTTTCAAGTCTCACAACAAAAGTACATCGAGCATTAATTCCACAAATATACCTGGTCATCAAAATTGACCAATATTTTTAAACATCTCAATAAAGTGTTTTGAAGCGCGGAAAGTTCGCATAAAAAATTACTGAGTTTCTAATATGTGTATAGATGACAGGTAAGCTAAATTGGTTTACTGATACTAATTTTACATTTTTTTCTCAACATGCACTCTTCAAACTCGGTTCACAAAGATCAATATCAAGGTTTATCAGATAGCATTTATGTCAACAGTTAGGGTTACTAGCATGCATTCACTTTTTATATTTATAAACAACCATTACTTATTTCATGGCCCAGTGTATAACAAACAGAGGAATTTGCGAGTTATCCTGATGGCTGATACTTATAAAACGAAAATTTAAATCTAAATGGTAATCCCAAATTTTTGTAATAGTCTAGTGTCCTTTGATCCTGTTTGTTGGCAAGTTATCATACTGTGATGATTTTGTAACATTCATTTTGAATTTGTCACAGGATCAGTGTTCCATTGACTATATATTCTCTAGACCGAGAAAGCACTTATTTTTTGCACACTCTTCCTCAACACTATGGACATGTGCTGTCTTTTCTTGCACAACTTTAATAAGTGAGTTCTAAACAAAACAAGTTCACTTCTATTTTCTGCAAATCATAGGTACTACTTTTAGACAAATCACAGTACAGTTACAACTGTAGAACGAAAATGAATAATTTGTAAATATCAATGCCAAGGTTTGACTAATATTTCCAAATAAATTGAGCATTTACTGTATTGTTTACGATAAATAATAATCTAGTTGTAATGTCTGAACAGATGAACAACCAAAATCCAGAAGTTTCGTGGCTTAGTGTAAGTTGCTTCTTCACAAGTATACGGGCAGTACTCAAACAAATCGAATGACGAAATTTGGCGCATATATATTTGGTGCCTCCTTGTGCCGATGTTTATGTGTTTAAATAAATAAGTAAATTATACAGAGGGACAAAGCAGGATATTTAGTAAGATTAAAATAGTTTTGATTTCATCTATGTCCTCCCACTTCCGTCCAGATGGTTCTGTGTGAGCTACAATCGTGTATGTTCATGTGTATGCTAGTGGGTCTGAAAAAATGAGTTTTTTTTAACTTGAAAGAGTGAAGTTGTCTGCATTTAAATCACATACTTTTTGTACAAGGTACTTTTAGTTGACAAGTAGTATTTGAATGACTAAAACGTAGTTGTTGCATTATATATACTAATGCGCTCAATGAATTCAAACCAAATTCTTTACATTTAGCCAAACGATTTAAAAAAATGGTAGTGGCAAAAAATCTAAACACGTGAATCAGCTTAGAGTTTCCAACCAAAAATCCTCTTGAGCCAAATTATCAGTAAGATTTTGGAGAAATCAAGTGAACTGTATGAAAAACAATCACCACAAAATATTCTAGTAGTGAGTTGTATGAATTTGGTTTTTTGTACTGTTTTTTTCCAAAATAACGACTACCAAGTACACTACATTAATACGTGAACCTCTTACTTTTGTTCAGACATGGGTGAACACAATTTCCTTACCAGATCTTGACAAGTTTGAGCAAGATAAAGCCCTGGCTTTCGCATATTGAGACGGCACAATGCGCATGGTCGTGTTGATCTGGTCGCCAGGCTAAGCTATGTGCATTACAGGAGATCATGATACTCCTTTTATTTCTCCGTGTCAGTTTTTACTCGATCGGAAAAAATCACACTTATTTAATTCTACTAACAATTTGTCTTCAAATAATTACAAACAACAAAAACCTATACACAACAGTGCCTTATTTCCAAGTATTTGCTCATCATCAGCTAAATTTATTACAACTGAACGTTCGGGAATTCTGATCATCTTGTTTATTTTATTGGGCGATATACTCTGTGCAACAGCCAGGTTCACGCATTTATCTGAAAAATTTCAATCAGTCGCTGAAGACAAGAATAGTGAACTTGTATTCCTAAATCTTCCTGCTTCATCCTCAGCATTAAAACCAACAAGATTTACTCGACGAACAAGCAAACCATCTGGTAAATTAGACGCTCGTAAGACTGATATAAAAACGTACTTTAACAAAGCTCGAAGACATTTATCACTTGACGGACAAATGGAAATAAAGTTTTTGAGTTCCGAACTTGTTGAATTTATTTGCCACCGACTTCCCGATCCATGTGCTCGCGCTGCTTATCTTCGTCAACATGTCAGACACGATTTGTGCTTTCGTTTGCCTTTATTGTATCTCCTCCCACATACTGATTCTCGTTTGGATAAACCATATTTGTCGGAATATAAACCTGGAACTTGTAAAGGAAGTCTATCTCATCTCACATATTTACCTTCAGATAGTATTTTTGAACAGTTTCTGACTCCGGTCCATATATGTGAACACAGTCTACTTTCGCTAAAAAAGATAATGGACGATAATTTAACTTCACATTTTGGAATATTTGATGATCTACTAGAAAAGTCATTTTGTGTTAAACCATTTGATTCCCGCCCTAACGTAACAGGAGAATGCCAATGTCAGGAGTGTCAAGTAAGTGTTTTACGTATAAGCACTTGTTTCTGTATACACGATGACCGTCTTAGTTTTCCTATATGGATTCATTATACTTTGAACACCTAAACTTTGCCTCAACTATGGTACAATAATCGAAGATTAGACTTAACCGTCACATCCTAATTGATTGAAGAATGAGTGACTTACAAGTTGATTTCCTGCACTCACATATGATACTTTATCATATGTATTTTGCGGTAATATTTTGTGTATAAGCACGTAATTTTATTACTTAAAACTCATTATTCTGACTTAGCTGTCTTGTTCCCGATTTCTAATAATTCGAGAGCTTAAGTCACTAATCTGATCTCGTGAGCATCCACCACTTGTTTATACCATATCATTGAGTTCATCTATCACTTAACATTCATTAATTTGAACGTCTAGAATTTTGTCTTGTTAACTACTAAAAATTGACAGATAGTTTCCATTTAAACATTAAAATTAAAACACGAAGTTCAGCAAAGGGATCTCTTTTCAACGAACTTATTATCAAGCTGTACAATCGTATATACATGAAATTTTTTTGTTTTTGTAAAAGTACTAATTCCGTGAGGAAATGTGAACGCAATTAATAAAAAAGTTTATAATGCAAGATTACGTAATACGAATTATAACAATAGATTTAGTGAATATAATAATAAGGTGATTTAAATGATTAAAATGTTTTTGTCATAAGAATTAAAGGTCATAGAGGTGTAGAAATAAATAAGGTGATATGATGAGCATTTACAAATAAAATAATGAGAATATAAGACATAAGTAAAGGGGGAATGCAGTAATAATAATAATAATAATAATAATAATAGGATAACCAAAATAATTAAGGCCAAGGTAACGATAACGATAAGACGTACTTCTTTTGCACGCATAGTTCTGGTTTAAGCTCCTGAATGGTAAGAGCTTCGGCACGTTTGTCGTTTGTGACAATAATATTGATTTAGATGATATTCTACACACCTTTAACTCATACCACCCTTCCATAGACTTCGCGTTAGAAAGGGAACGAGACCAATCAATTCCTTTTCTCGATGTACGTCTGATGAGAAGGAGTAATGGTTCTTTAAAGAGATCCGTCTTTAGAAAACAAACATAGAATGACCAGCTAACCAACTTCTATAGCACGGGTTCCGTTAAGTAGAAAGAGAAACCTCATCCATTCTTTATGTTATCGAATACGTCAGATATGCAGTACGGAATGCATTAACGAATAACTCTTATTCCTCAAAAAAACTTCGACGAAAAATGGTTACCCAGAACGTTTCATAGAAAATAATATGAATAGAGGTAGTTGCGACAAAAAATCTAGTTGTTCCGTCCCGAAGAAGAACCTTTATACAAGTCTGGAATTTAAAGGTGATCGAACATCAGACGTAATCAAAAATCGTCTAACAACAACGATTAGAAGAACATTTACATCGGCTAAACTGGGAATAACCTTCACTAGTAAGGACTTATTTTCTGTATCCATAAAAGATAAGCTTCCGCGTCTGGTCGCCTCTATGTGCATCTATCAGTTCACCTGCTCTTGTGGAGCAGGGTACATTGGCCGTAGCCGGCGCTTGCTTCGAACTCGGATACGGGAACATATCCCAGCTTGGTTCTATAAAGGTGAAAGGAAAGCAGTTAGGAGTTCTATACTTGAACACCTAATCGACTGTAACCATTCTACAGATCCACAATTTGATTTTAAGGGTGTTTATATGATCCGTTCAAATCAACCCAGATTTCTTCGTATCCAACTTTTAAAAATAGCTGAAGCTCTTACCATCCAGGAGCTTAAACCAGAACTATGCGTGCAAAAGAAGTACGTCTTATCGTTACCTTGGCCTTAATTATTTTGGTTATCCTATTATTATTATTATTATTATTATTATTATTATTATTATTATTATTATTATTATTATTATTATTATTATTATTATTACTGCATTCCCCCTTTACTTATGTCTTATATTCTCATTATTTTATTTGTAAATGCTCATCATATCACCTTATTTATTTCTACACCTCTATGACCTTTAATTCTTATGACAAAAACATTTTAATCATTTAAATCACCTTATTATTATATTCACTAAATCTATTGTGCATCCACTCTCTATGTTCTCCCAAATTCTAATTATCTGAATTCTTCATGCCCCTTTTTTTCCTCTTTCCAAATTTATTGCACTGGATTTTACTCGTTAAATAACATCTCCAAACCCTAATCTTCCCGATTACTGCTTATACTCTTGCTACCTCTACCACTACGGGATTTGAATCGACCACTGCATCTCTGTGTGCTAATGTGGTATGGCAACTCGAACTGATGTACGTACGTACTAAGTTCTACGTTGTTACTGACTGACTGATTGTTATAATTCGTATTACGTAATCTTGCATTATAAACTTTTTTATTAATTGCGTTCACATTTCCTCACGGAATTAGTACTTTTTCATATACATACAATTGTACAGCTTGATAATAAGTTCGTTGAAAAGAGATCCCTTTGCTGAACTTCGTGTTTTAATTTTAACTATTAAAAAGCCTCTCTCATTAAAAAAGCTGAGCTTAAAAAGGAAACATTTCGACTAAAAGCTTGAGATTTCTGCAGAGAACAATAAAAAAGAATAAACATACCGTAATAATTGTAATGCATGGGGAATTTGTGACGGAAAATGTAGTTCTCACATTGAGCAGTCTTCATATCAGTTTACGAGAAATGTAAATCAAATCACAAAGCGTTATTTTTTCTCACTAAAGGAATTCACTCCAAGACAAGCTCCAGTGGTTGTACTGAGGTCAGCACAAACATTGAATTTTACTTTTCGCACCCGACTTAATTATTTATAAAAGCATTGGTTACTCATTTAATTGCAGAAAAGTATCCTTTTGTTTCTAAGTGAAAAAGTGAGATTTTACTAAAGATACCGAACATATGTCTTCCAGTAATTGCAAAAAGTATCCTTTTAATCAAGGTGTTATAAACTTAATTGCTGTGCTTTATAGATGTGTTTGACCACCCGGAAATCCCAATAAGTAATCTCCAAAAGAATTAAAGTTTGCCTGTGCTTTATTATATCTGTTTGCATAAACGTTTATTTTATTACTAAAGTTTCGTAGTTTAATCAACACCTGACTTTTTAGCGGTTCCAGGTTCACTACTCGATCGACTAACATTGTCTCCTTGACTAGAACCTAACACTAGAACACTAAAACCTAACTTTATTAGCTCAGTGTTTCTTTCACATACGAAGAATGTTTGAATGACACCTAAGATCGAATACCGACAAGCTAGTGTCTTAAACATTCAGTGATCATATTTTCTAGTGTTTAACTAGGTTAAAGAATTCTTTTCCTTGGATAAAGTTTACAACATATCAAATAGTCAGGCTTTCACTCAAGCTGTTCAACAGATCCTTCAACCTCTTCACCTTCAATTAGCAGAACTTTATTTTCTGCTTATTTAATCTATTAAAAGATCTCCAGATAGTGTGTTAATAATGTAAAAGTGGCGGAGGGTACACAACTTTCCAACGAAATTCTCCCGAGATATGTTTTAGTGGCTCGAGATCTGATTCCATTCGGATTGTACGGATGATTGATATTGAGAGATACACATGTCATCTATCCTCGTATATAATTGTCGACTTAACTCGCGTTAGTAAATAACGGAATCAAATGAGCCAAGTACGAGAATAAACTTTGAATATGTATATTCCATACACTCAGTGATTTGAACAGTGAGACGAAACAAAGAAGGAAGAGCCAAGCAGATTAAAGAAGGCGAGTGATCTAACTCGATTCAACCAAGCGTTAATCGATAGTCAGGCAAAAATAAGTTACAGACATATGATGAGTAAGATAAGAAATACACACACATACTCTTATTTAAAACCAATCAAGGTTGATAAACGAGTAATTAACAAGGTCAAAATGTGACTCAAGAAGAATGGATAAATTGGTCTGTCCAGAATAAGTTATATGGGCCTAGCATGGTAACCGACACTACAATAAGCAGGGTTTTTTTTATCCCAAACAATCTGTGAAACCCTGGAGTTTAGACAAACTCTCAAAGCTATATGGTTTCAACTTTGTTTAGAAGTAAGCTATCAAAGGCCTTGAACTAACGCTATATAAAGTTTTTGTAGCTCCCATCCACCTGAAGTAGTGGCAGTTAGGTTCGTGTGCTGATAATATCTCAGTCTCTCTTAACAGCCAACAGGTTCCATTGTAATCTAGGCTATAATATTTTTTTCCATTTTCCGTAAATTACTTTAGTGTCTTAAGAATCAGTATTGGTTATCCTTTAATTTTCGGTTGTCCCCACAAGTAGTTCATATAACCTGTTTGTAGTACTCAATTTCATTCACCGTTTTCTAGCCCAATATTGGTTTGATTATACTGGAGGAAATAAAGAAGCATTATTGAGTTTGCATGCAATCGGGCATAAGACCCTGCTAATTTCTAAAGTACGTATTTATTTGTTATTTATTCTTCGTCTACCTTGAATGTGTCGGCAAAGTCGGTTGTTTTTCCCGTTTTAGAATATGCTACTGATTTTTACAAAAGTAGAGTAACAAAGACGAAATTTGATCTGTGCTTCTTCCAAGCTATACGTTTTGTGCACTCACAGTGGGATTTTTCAAAATTCCGAAAATTAGACATCTCCTAACTTTTTACGTTTTAAACTGTAAAATACTTTTTTATTAAATTAGCTTGCAACCAATATCAATCACTTTCACTGATCTTATGATTTAGTGAAAAGATTTTCATTATTCTTATCTTATGTAGTACACGAATTTATGTTTCTTAGGTGTTCTGTTGGTTGAGTCTTCCTACTTTTAACCATCATGGTGTTCAAATTACACTCATTACACTTGGGCAGCTGAGTGATATCACTACACTCTGCACATGAAATCCAGCTCAAAATCAAGTACATGTTTCTATACAGGATTACCGATTTCCAGTTAAGTCTATTCGATTAAGTTAC